TGTGCTACTTAAATCTTCAGTGGTACTTTCCAAGCTCTTCTAGCTGTTACTGTGAATAATAGGCTTCTGAGGCCTCAGAATTCTCTGGCCTTTCATGCGTAGCTTGGGAATTCTCCTCTTCGGAATTATTATGCTATTTTGAAGTAGTAGAATTCTTCAGAGATAGATGTGAGTCCATACAGATTATCATGGTGAATTTCATGGATTTAGAAAATAAATTGCTTCTCTTCATTTCCCCACCCTGTGTTTATATTGCTCAGTGGGTTTCTAGGTTAGTGGTAGGGCAGAAAAATAATTTTTCACCTTTTTTGCCCCTTTCCTGCCCTTCTTACTGTTTATTCCCTTGCTACGATTTCCCTCTTGCTAGTATTTGTTTGAAGGACATCTATGGTATAAAAACAGAGTTGTTATTGCTATTTATCCTGTAACATGTAAATGAATTAATTAGAGTGTAGAGTAATATTATATTTCATAGTTTGGGGACTTACTGTTGAGGATTTTTTAAGTTTTAGGTTCTTTCATCAGAGGTATGGAGGTTTCTTCTAAGCTAAGTACACATAGTTTCTCTACTATTCAAATATCAGTGCTAAGTAATTACTGAAGCCTTTTTATTTTTCTTTTTATCTTCCCTTGGCATTCAATGACTTTGAAGTTTGGTTCAGGTCAAGTTGTACATTCATCTTTTAAAACATCTGAATTTAAAGCTGATAACCTCAGCTTGTCCTTTAGATCCTGAAAGGTTACATTTCTGTTCAGTTTTAATTTAGCTCTTCATGTTCTGTACCAAAGTTATTAGAGGTACCAAGTGATTTGGTTTTAATGAAAAATAGGAGTCCTGCATCTGGCATTGCAAGGCTTTGGAATAATGTATTTTGGGGGAAAAGCCCTATTGCTGGGCTTTGCTGCAACTGTCACCTGTAAGTTTGCTTTCTAACAAAATCTGATTTATGGGTATGAAAATAGAACCCTCAAAAGCTACCTATTCAGGGAGAACATTTCCTTAATTAGCACTTCTTCACTCATGATTGGAAGTGATGTAACCTTTTGTCCTGGAATTTCCTTTTTGCCACTAGAGTCTAATCTTTATAGCACAACTGTGTCTTTAAATATGGTTGTATGCACTGGGGTAAAAAAAGTGGTATAGATACAAAATTATCTTTATATATTTTGTAAAGATTTTTGTCTTCTGTGTCAACATCATAATCTCTTTGGCAGATTTCTATCATTGTTCTTCTGGAGAATTTTGCACCCTCCAAAATGGAGTGTGCATCGAACATTCATTTTGAATTAGGAGCTACTGTCTTCCCAGGAAAAATGTTTAGATGCCTTAGAGAGCAGCCATGGTGGGACAGTTTTTGGTAGATCACAGAGCTGCTGAACTATACCCTTCAAGTGCAGGGCTGTTATCCCAGGCCTGGGAGCCCAGCCTTCGATATTGAAGAGTTGTAGCAAGATTTGATTCTGCATCTCTTAATGGCATAAATAATCTTGATTTTTAGATGAGAAAAAGTTGTGTTGCCTTCCACAGCAACTTTTGGGCACTTCTAGTCTGGCTGCATCTGTGGGATGTGAACTGTGGGAAATGTGGAATGTGATGCAGTGGTTCATTGTGAGTTCTCATTTGCCATGTAACCACGGGCAAGTTGTGATCCTCCTTTAAGAATGGAGCTGCTAATGGGGAAGTTGAATCCAAAAGTCAGCATTACAGAGCCTATATTTAGGTACTGCATGTTCTGGGTACTGCATATTCTTACTCGGTACCTCACTAAGAAGCGACATATATGTCCTGTGTAATGAGTTCTGAGGAATGCTTTGGACCTGTTCCCAATCTGATGGTATTCTATCATGAGGTCAGCTTTGATATCAGTGAAGTCATTGCTTAAAATTTTTATGCTTTGAAGCAGAATAATTAGGTTCTTACATGTGGGAAGACCTTGATGTTGGTTGAAGTCTTCCCTTGTTCTGTGACTTCACTTCTCAGTATTGAGATACTACCAGAGCTAAATTATAAAGCAGTCCTTTCAATATATGCTACTAAAATAGTGAATTAGCTGCCAAAATTTGGGTTTGTTGAGAATCACTCCCTTTTTCCATAATTAACAGAATGCCTAACAGGCACAGACATATAAACTTAATGCTAAAGCATTATGATAAGACTATAATGATCAGGCACCAATTTGCAGCAGATGAGTGCTTTCTTCATGAACTTTTATTTCACCATTTCAGAAAAAAAAAAAGGGAGTGAAGAGGAGAGGATAAAAAAGGAATTTTTTACTGAAAATAATTGCATTAGCTTTCTTGAGAAGTGCTCTTTGTAAGAGGCTGGAGTTCAGGGATCTGGGTAAAGGCGACACATTTGAATTTCTTTGCTCAGAGAGTTCCTGTGTGTCAGCTGTGTTGTGGTATAGGAATAAATGTGCTGTTGGGCTATAGGAAGTGTAAGGTAAAATGTGTTAGCATGAACCTCCAGGAAAAAGATTTAAGCTAAATCATTCTGTCTCCTTTTGATAAGCTAAAAGCAACCACCTACCATGTTACTGCAGCACCCTGGTAAGTGTCATAATTCAGCCAGGGTCCTGAGGTGGAACTGCCCTGATAAAGGAATTAAACACTGGATTGGTAATATGTCTTTTTTGGTGCCAGTATTGTTTGTTTTCAAAACAGTGGATTAAATGAGGAAAGTTTCAGTTAGATCTAGTTATCCCTTTAGAAAGAGTGATTATGCAATTTTAGAAGTATTTTGGGACCTGAGTTCTTAGTTCTGGTCATCTCTGCGTTCACTGAAGTGCAAAGTCTAGCTTTGTAAATGGTATTTGTTTGACTGGGCAGTCAGCCCTGGCATAATCCCTAACCCTGACTCTGTCCAAGGAAGGCTTGGGCTGAATTTACTTTAAGGAATGAATACACACAATGATATGCTTGCACTCTACGTCCTGTTTCTTCATTGATGCCAAGTGGGAAACTGAACAGTGTGTACAGCAGCTCCTGCTTGGCTGTCCCACGTGGAAGGAACAGCCTAGGGAATGCTGAGTCATGTCAGATCTCACCCTGGTGGGACACGGGTTTTGTGTAATGTTGCTGGAATGGATGGGTCATACACAACCAAATTAAAAATACCTCCAACATGACCCCTGCTATTCCCCCTAGCCCTCACCCTCTACAATGTTTATTTGTATCTGCATGTGTTTGTTTACAGAAAGTTGTTTACCTTGTGCTTAGTGCCATTTTGGATGCCTTGTGGTCAAATTCACCCACAGGTCATTTGATAAAAATCAGTGATCCAGAGGTCTGGGTCAAACATGCCTTTGTGTGGCACATCATTTTCTCCTTGATCTGTGACCTAGAGATCATACCGAAACACCATGATTTAGAAGACCTAAACTTGGGTGAAACTGCTTTTGATATTTTCCAGAGGAAGAATTAAATGTTTAAAGAGGTTATTTCCAACATGGCAGAAGAAAGGATAGGTGAATTAAGGATAGGTAAATGTTATAATCTTTTGTGTTTTCAGACCACCTTTTCTAGTTTCTTCTGCTCAAATTCAAACACTGTTGGATTCTAGGGAGTTTTATTTTTGAAGATTTCACCTCCACCACCTCTCTGTCAAGGATTCAGTTTCACTTATGTGTCTTGGTGACTATTAAGAAACACGTTCCTTGGATTCAGTCACTACATGTATTTTCAGTTTCCGTTCAGACCACTTAGTAAGTAGGTTATCTAGTCTTGCCCTTGCATTTAAAAACCCTTTTGGAAGGATTACTGATTTTCCAAGTCACTGTATTTGAGCTGGCTGTGCAATCAGGCTGGAACAGGAACAGCTGTGATTTCCAGTATGATGAGGACTGTTCAAGTCATTTTTCTCTCTCTGTCATCATTCTCTTCTGGAGTTTTTCCCTACCACACTGTGGAAACTTTTCTTTATTTAAAAGATCTTTAAATCTGGAGAGTCATTGAAGAGGTGATGCCAGTCATTAGCTAGAACAAGCATATGCTGCTTAGTCATGAAGTGACACACATCCCAGGGGAATGTTCCCGTTACTGGATTCCTGCATGCTCTGTAAGAGATCTCTTCCAGTCTCTTGTAACCAAATATTTATCAAGTCAGAGACCACGAATTACTTCCTCTCTCACTCAGCTGCATCATCACTGTGTGGTTCGTTTCTTTGCTTTAAAGGTTGTATAGTTATTTATATGACACTATGTAAAATTATTTAAACAGTTTACCTAACAGAGACTTACCCAACAGCCTGTATTATACAGAATTACAGACCCCCTGGGTTTGTGTATCTTGGGGATGGCTCAGAGCTGCCCTGCAGGGTCCAGTTATCCTGGTGAATGTGCTGGAGGAAGAGATGGTTGAAGGTTTCTGCTTTGGGACTTCAGGAGTTTGCTTCAGTTGGTGGCATACCTATGGAGTGATCCTAGGATAGGTTTGAGGACATCAAATGATGAAAGTGTACCTACATGCCATGTTAGACAGCAGCTTTTGCAGAAATCCACTGTGCTTAATTGTCTATTATCACTTGATGTTGTGTCTTCTGTGTTTTTGTGTTACCTTGGAGTTAGTGATACAGGAATGGTCCCAGTATTATCATTTTAGAAAACCAAATAAAAGTAAAATGGTCCTTGAAACAGTTATGAAAGTATCTCAGTTTCTCAGGGAATAAACAGATCTAAATAACTATTTGTAGATTTTTTTAGGTTCTCGTTCCTAAGAAAGACACACTTATTCTTGTTCCTAGATGCTTCTTGAAAGTATGACCAAAAAAAACTGAGTTCATTTCAACTACAGATATGATCACAGTAATCTTGGTGGACACCACCATACCCCTTCCTCTCCAAAAGGAAGGATTTAACAGCTGGGAGGTTTTGCTCCCAGTGGGATTTTTTTATAGACACTGGAAATCAGGAAGATGTAGAGGCAGCATGGACAGAAGCTTAATAAAGTAATTGCTTTATTCAAGTCTTGTCAGGCAGTGGGAAGCTGAGCAACCTTTTTGGAGAAAACCACCAGGCAGTACCTGCTCCCTACACAGAGCAATATCACCTGATGGATCCAAGGGCTGCACAGAGCTCTCCAGGGAAAAACTACCTGCTGCAATTCAGACTGCTACTAAGTAAGTAACCCCTCAAGAATCAAAGCACTAACTGATGCCTCTGAAAACTATGTTTGTGTAACTAAGGAACTGCCCAGCTCTGCAATAATTTCATTGTCTGGGTGTGTTTAAAATGCAGTGTGGCATGAAGGAAGGGGAAGTTTTCAGGATTATACCTTTATATGTGCTGCAAAGCCTAAAAATTAATTTAAAATCTGGTTCCCTTTCATTCCAGGTCTTAATTTGCTCAGTTATTTGGGGTAAAAACAAAGTGGATTTAGTGGCATTGTTTCAGATGTGTTGAATTAAAACAGGATGTGGCCTAAACCAAAGCAAGTACAACATATTTTTCCACAATTCCCTTTTCAGTGCTTATTTCAGTGTATACTGAGAAATATTGCATCGCTCCTCTACTTGTCTTTTTTTTTCTACAAATGTTTTAAGATAAGTACAGTTGAAGCTTAGGCCTGATAGAATGTTTTGAATTTGAGATCTTTTTGCCTTGTCTTGGCAACAGCAGAGTAAAATGAGGACAGTCTTTGGGAGGGGTCTCAGTATCACTGCCTCTGAGCAGGGACAGCTTTTCAGAGGGTGGGCAGAAAGGCTGGGCATTGCTCAGGAAAAGGTTTGGGGAAACTGTCTACAAACTAACAGCAAACCTTCAGCATGCAAGGTAGAGCCCTACAAGCAGTGTTCCCCCTAGCCAGGGCTTCTGCTTCATTGGGCACACTGGGATCTCCTCCACAAAGGAATGATCTTGTCAGTGGTTTCTTCCCCCTGTGAGAAGGGCAGAGCAACAGTGGCATCTCAATAGGGGGAATTTTCTTCACTTGCCAGGGGGGAGAGAGGATAATAGGGCCTGAACTCTCTTGTGTCCATGTAAGTGTGACAGGTCTCATAGGCATATGGCTCTTCTCTGCAGACCTACACTGAGTGTTTGGGTGTGGAAGTTTTCCCATTCCCTGGTGGGATGCTTTGCATGCAGTGCTGATATAGGAAGTTCTACTGGAGCAGTCAAAGCAAGAAAATCAGGAGCACCCCATTTGAGATGTGTGTCCACTTTTCCCAGCTCAGCTAGCTCCACCAGCAACCTCATCAGTAGTTTGTGAGATGAGTCCTGTCCCGTGGCACTGCAGCACATTCAAGACCTCAGTTTTCTTGTGTTCCCTGCTCTCTGCTCAGGTCTTCCCCAATGCTGACCTTCAGGGTGCAGGGTGAAGCTTGTGACCACTGTGCCTCATCTGGCTGTGGAAGGGAGGGTGGCTGAGGCGATGCCAAAGGGGAGCTCAAGCTCCATGCAGAAGAGGATTTCTGATTGAGTGTGTCCTGATATCCTGGATGCAGGCCTTTCTCAGATCAGGAAGTTTCATGGAGAGTGTTGCTAAGCACTGGAACAGAGTTCCCAGGGAAGTGGTGGAGCCACCCATCCCTGATGTGCTCAAAAAATGTGTGGTTGTGACACTTGAGGACTTTGTTTAATGGTGAAGATTATGATGGTACTAGGTTGATGGTTGGACTTGAAGGTCTTTTCCAAGCTTAACAGTTCTATGATTCTACCTTCAAAGGTCCCAATCCACCCAAATCATGCCATGGGCCTATGATTCCATGAAAGCAGCACTCCCAAAATACAGATTCCTGTTTAAACAGGAATGTTTCAAGTTTGTTTCCCAAGTACTAGGTTTGATATGGCTGTTTCAATTCTATGTGAAAAAAATCTTTAGATTTATTAAAGAATCCTAATCTCCTTGAAAAGATAATTAGCTGCCCACCAGCAACAGGATTTTGATGGAAAACTTTTGAATAAAGGTTGTAGAATTATTTGCCTAGGGTCAAAATGCTAGTTTAGTAGAATGGCAGCATAATATATTAAAGCTTTGCCCAGGAATGGTGGATGCATTAAAGATTACCTTGGTACTCCAAGTACAAGATGTCTGTGGAAAGGGAAAGCAAATTCTGTGTTCAGTACTTCGGTCTTTTCATCCAGCAACATTAATATTTACCTTGTATATTATTTTCTCTGCTCTGGAGATGCAAATATGTATTCATAGCCATAAGATGATGTTAATTTTGTCAGGAGATTCAGCCTGCCGAGTCATGGAACTGGATTGTTGCCATGGTCCTGACTTATAATGAAAGAGGAGCTTTTTAGCTATGCCATGAAATAGGACTCCAGTGAGATTGGTCAGATGTATAATAGATGAGGCCTTGAACTGACAGGACTTAGTGAGTCAGACTGATTTGGTAAGTAACATGTTCTTCATACCACATGTATAAAAGAATGACTAAGAAACCCAACCCTCAGGGCGAGAATGAAAATAAAAAGGGAAAACTGCTCATATCCTGACAAATTTGGAACAGTCCAAGTCCAGTATTTGGATCCCCATTTTGCCAGTTCTTTTTCTAACATTCAGAGACTTTCACCAGAATAAATGGTATTCTGGAGTTCTGTACAGCCTGTTATCCACTACATCCATAGATTAAAAGAACCGCAGGAACTCTGACAGCAACAAAATACTTCCAGTCTGAGATAAAAATAATTTTTAAAGAGAAGATAAATATTTCTTCTTTAGACTCAGACCACAAATGGGACATCTCAAGTATGTGAAATTGGAATTTAAAATAGAAATCTGCAAATAATTTCAGTTATATGGCTTTTGCTGGACACATTATAACACTGAGTGCTTGCTGCAGTGCTAGTGCTGTGCAATAATTCCTTGGAAAAATACCTTTTCTTTCTCCAATCACATTTATCAATCACTGTTAAAAAGCTGCATTAAAGTGATGGTTGTAATGAGGAAAGGAAAAGATACTGGGCTGACATCTGAATAAACAGGAGATGATCCATAAGTGACTGATCAAGATTGTTTTTACCCATCATTGTTTTAATGCACAAGTCAACAAAAGTTTTTTTTAGTAAAGAGAGAGCAGCTTCAGGAGTTGATGACTGAACTTGTAATGAAATGTCATCTTAATATTTAGCTAAGCAGAAAAGCCTTATTTTAAGTTTGTGAGGGGAATAGCTTAAACAGCAAACTATTTTGCTGCTACTGTTCCACTCAGCCAAACTTTCAAAGTGTAATTAAAACCATATCCATCATATAGCATATTTTTTCCTCTTCTTGCCAAAAATATTTCAATGTATATTAAATGTTTTTTCTTCCTAATCAGTATGAGTGATACAAGCTCTGGAGGGCACCCAGCCAGAAACTCCTGAATTTTAATTTCAGCTTTTATGTGGCTTTTTAGCTTGTTACCTTTCTCTGAAGGGCAGCAATAGCAGCCTACATAACTAATTTTCTCTCAGGATGATTCCTGTTCTTATGAGGAATGTGGAAGGGAGCAGGGAGCCAGCAGGAGCGCATGGGGTCCAATGTTTTCAGCCATTCAGGAAGGAGGAGGAATTCTGTTGAAGCCCCACTGTGCCAGGTCCTCTGGGCACAGATGCTGACAGGCAGTTCCTGATCCAGATCTGGGTGCCACCTCAGAACTACTGTTTATGGACTTAGATGTTTATTTTGTGAAGAGCTGCTGTAGGACTTTACTGGTGGCATTGGTCTCCCTCAGAAAGCCCAAGCAGGGTAACAAAACACTGCTAACCAGCACCCAAGGCCCTGGTCCTACTCCTTGTCAGGATGTTGCCACAGAGCCTTCCTCAAAAAAACTTGTACACAGGAAATTCTTTGGTGTACAAAATATTTATCCTGCCTCTTTCAGGTCACAGTTTTACCTTTTAATGTCCTGTATGACACATTTGTGTCCAGTTAACATCTGAACTGAAATATGTAGAGTCACTTAGAAGATAAGAATGAATCAGGTGTGAGAAATGTTTACATACCGCTTCAAAAAATTCAAGAGGCAGAGTGAGAAAAAATGAGGAACAGGGGAGTGCCATCCCTGCTAGGAGAGTCTGTCACCTTCTTTCACCAGCTGCAGGAGTTTGTAGCTACTTCCCAACCCGTCTTTCCTGGCCACAGCCCATGTGTGCTTACCTGGGCCCTCCCCTGGACCTGTGCCCTGTGCAGCACTGCCAAACTATGAGCTCCATGAGCTGTTCCTCCCTTCCTCTTCTTATCTGCTGGCACCCTTCAGTTGATAATGCCTTCTTTCCCCACATGCCTTTGTCTTTAGCTCTCCTTGCCTTCATCCTCTCTCCTGGGGCAGCACACAAGGACAGTACTCATTAGAGGGAAAAGAGGGAGTTTGATCTATACACCTATTTTCTAGGTAGAAACAGCAGCAGGGCACAGAAGACAACAAAATTTTAACTTGAAAGTGTTATTTTATTTTTTGTGCATGTTTGTTGTATACACATCTGAATGGGTTGTGCTAGCCATATGGATAGCAGAACTTCTGGTTTCCAGGAAGCTTCCTATTTTTCCTTTAAAATGGCTGTCAGAGTTCTGGGGTTGCATTGCTAAAACCACAGAGGAGTGTAATAAATCTCTCTTGATTTCCACATGAAATATTAAGTAAACTTTTCAATGAAGCAAATCAGCAGAAATGACCTGTGATTTAATCAGAATTTTATTTTGTGGGTTTTTTTGCCTCAATCTGATTACACTTCAATACAGTCAATTTTGTTGTCACCCTTGCTGGGAATGGTCCTCTTGTTTGTCTCCCAAAACCACTCGTGGGCTCAGCTACCTGATGTTCCTGTGTTCTGGATGGTTTTCCATTATCTCACATTCAGAAAGTGGCTGGTCAGTGCCTTTCTGAATACACTGCTCCTGTTTCAGCCAGATCTTTCCATCTGCTCAGTCCCTTGCTAGCCATATAGCCATTGCGGACCTGAACAGTTATATCTGGCTTATTGGTATCTCCTTTCAAAACAAAAAACTTTCTTCAAGGCTCAAGGTATTGCAGCATGAAGTAATTTTGGATCCTCAAGTAGAAAATATGAAGATAATAGCTTTCCTCATCTGTTACATATACTAATGCCATATTATTCTCTATTGCTCTCAGCAGCCCACTAATTTCTGTCATTCACAAAAGACACTAATAATTCCAACTCCCTTTCCAAT